TCACACACTCACCCGTCTGCAGGAAGTGAGGCTGCAAACTCTTTGTTCACAAAGGTGGAGCTTGTAAAGCCGCCTCCCCTGTCCTCAGATGTGACCGTCTGCTGGATGAGGCTGTTCAGGACACCCACGGCCCGGTCATGTGACAGATCATGTGACGTGCACATATTGAGGACGGCGTACACTGCAGGTTCTATGAAGCGGCTGACAATGCGAACTCCTCCTGGGCGGAGCACAAAGTCATATCTTTAGAACATTCACCCATCTGAGGAACTGATGGGGGAGGGGCAGCTTCCAAATATCTTTCCATCCATTGCACATTGTAAGACAATACCGGCCTCTGATTGGTCGCTCTGGGCTCCCAATCAGCAGGCAGTGCTGGGCGGTGTGGGTGGAACAAAGAATCCCACACAAGGTGCTGGTTCCAGGCGGAGTTATGGCTAATGTACGGGCCCCGCGGGGACGGACGGTCAGAGGGGAAGGAGGGTCAGAGGGGACGGACGGGTCAGAGGGGACGGACGGGTCAGAGGGGACGGACGGGTCAGAGGGGACGGACGGGTCAGAGGGGACGGACGGGTCAGAGGGGACGGACGGGTCAGAGGGGACGGACGGGTCAGAGGGGACGGACGGGTCAGAGGGGACGGACGGGTCAGAGGGGACGGACGGGTCAGAGGGGACGGACGGGTCAGAGGGGACGGACGGGTCAGAGGGGACGGACGGGTCAGAGGGGACGGACGGGTCAGAGGGGACGGACGGGTCAGAGGGGACGGACGGGTCAGAGGGGACGGACGGGTCAGAGGGGACGGACGGGTCAGAGGGGACGGACGGGTCAGAGGGGACGGACGGGTCAGAGGGGACGGACGGGTCAGAGGGGACGGACGGGTCAGAGGGGACGGACGGGTCAGAGGGGACGGACGGGTCAGAGGGGACGGACGGGTCAGAGGGGACGGACGGGTCAGAGGGGACGGACGGGTCAGAGGGGACGGACGGGTCAGAGGGGACGGACGGGTCAGAGGGGACGGACGGGTCAGAGGGGACGGACGGGTCAGAGGGGACGGACGGGTCAGAGGGGACGGACGGGTCAGAGGGGACGGACGGGTCAGAGGGGACGGACGGGTCAGAGGGGACGGACGGGTCAGAGGGGACGGACGGGTCAGAGGGGACGGACGGGTCAGAGGGGACGGACGGGTCAGAGGGGACGGACGGGTCAGAGGGGACGGACGGGTCAGAGGGGACGGACGGGTCAGAGGGGACGGACGGGTCAGAGGGGACGGACGGGTCAGAGGGGACGGACGGGTCAGAGGGGACGGACGGGTCAGAGGGGACGGACGGGTCAGAGGGGACGGACGGGTCAGAGGAATGGGCATCTATACGGAGAGACCGCTGCTTACCTGGCCAGCGGCGCGGCAGACACCAGGCTGTACACCGCACACCACTCGGGAAGGTGACCGGCGATCTCGGCGCACACGGCCGGCAGCTGTGACGGCAGACAGCACAGGAAGACCATCCGAGACTCTCTGACCAGCCTGACGTTGTCATAGAAACACTGAACGCCCCGATCCCGGAGATCTCCTGTAAGGGGGGCGAGTGACACGTGAACCCCGAGGACTACACAAGGGGGCGCACAGCTGCAATCTGATTGGCTCCTGTGGGCATCCTACCTCTGTGTTCAGATGTACAGCCGTGCCAGGTTTCCATGGTAACACTCGCCCTCAGTGTGTCCTGCATGTGGGCGGGCGGGCAGAAAATCCTCACTGATCACCCCGTTACCTCTCACACACCAGCAGGAAATCAGGTGGGTGGCAAGGCTGCAGCCAACAACAACTACCTGACAATATGGCGGCTCTCGCATTCCGGTGAACGCCGCAGAGGGCGGAGATAACTTACGGAGGGTCTCCGGCCGGCGGGTGGACGCGC